GGCGGAGTAAATCAGTTGTATAGCCAGAACAATAAATCATAGCACAATTTTCTAAATGTGTTTTTCTTACAGTTTGCCAACTTTTACAAATCCTTGTATGCTTATTGTCAAGTACAAAATGCCATCATTCCCTCTAAAGTTATTCAACATGAAAACAGATAGCGTGGTTTTACTAATTCTGTTTTCTACCAATCGCTTCCAAAATATTCTCTTGAACACAAGAGAAAAAAGCTCAGACTTATTTACAGCGCTCTAGAGCATGAGAATGTAAAATGTGAAGTGTTCACCCCCAAAATAGTATACTAATAAAAATAACCAGACTTTTGAGTCACTCCCATTAATGGGTTTTATTTTTAGAGTTCTGTGCTGTTACTCAGGAAAAACAGTGGAGATGAGAAAGCAAATAAACTACTAAGCAAAATATATTAAGAATTTATTTGAAATTTGAGCAGAATTTGAAATTGAGCTGCACTGATACTTCTTGTAAGGTAACTATATGGTGAAACTGTTAGAAGAAAATTCTTTTAGTAATTAAGCTGACCCAAGGGTACACATGACTAGGAGTGCTAATCCAGTGAGCATCCGTTTAGAAAGAAGAATGAAATATGTAAATTAATCCAATGCATCTCAATATACCAACTATAATTCTAGTTAGGCTATAATTCCAGTGAGCAAGAACTGACTATTACAAACAGCCAAGGATATAACACATATTTATTAATGGAATATTCTCGTAAAAGGTAGCATCGAAGAAACAATCTGAGAAGCTTAATGTAATATAGCTGAAGAAAAATAAATATCTAAGGACCCCTAAACTAAGTATTCCTTGTCAACCTTTGGTTGCCCTTTGTTCTATTTAACAGTGATGCCTCAGCCATCCAAGGAAACTTTACATATTTGAACTCCAACATGCTAATCCTTCACCAATCATTATGCATTATTTATAAGGCTAAAGATATTGGAATACATTCGTTTTTCAAGTGTAGTCCAAATAACATAAAAAATTCTTTCGCAGTTAGGGTCAGACTGCAGTGCAGAGCACACAGACTTCTGCTGATCAATCTGGACTTCAAGTACATATAGAAAGAGACAAAGTCAGCAAGAGGTGTTTGCCACCCTGAAACCTCTGACTAAGGGCAGAGTAACATGGCAACGTTTCTGGTTTGACTTGGACATCATCCAACCCTGAATGAGATTCTAGTTTTGAGGAGGTGCCATGTTATCAGCAGATCCATGTTCAAAAATCTGCCCACCCTTGCTTCGCTTTGAAAAAATACAGTTCAAGGCTAAATGAAACTTTCCAAGTCCACTGGATGTTTGCATTTCTTTGCCTGGGAATCCAAGCTTGAAGTAGACCACCGACAGGGATTTGCCAGCTGTGGTATTCATAAATTGATCAAGCAGCTGGTCGGTGTGATCAATCTTATCTGTGTGTATGTGTGTGTATGTGTGCGCATGTGTGTCTATGTACATGTGCACTCCCAGGTTTAGAAAGGGGGATTGGAAGTCAGTGTCTTCAATGCCTTAAAATGTGCGAGAAAAGATATTAAGAGACTGAGGCGAGATAAGGCAAACCTGAAGCCAGGTTTTGGTCTCCGTGCTTCTCAGCCAGACACCATGAATGTTGTAAAGGAAATGAGAAGGGTGTGTGTAATAAAACAGCTGGTTGAGAAAGATATAAGTGAGGCCGCACAGTGGACTGATAGTGAGGTTACTGGGAAAGAAATAAGGCAATTCTTCTAAGCAAAGGAATAAGGAAAAAGAGACAAGACAATACAGTGGGGAAATATATGGTACTCTAGCTCAGTGGTTCTTAAACTTTAGGGTACATCGGAATTACCTGGGGCAAGGGGGGCAAGAGGCTTGATAAAATACAGATTTCTGGGCCCTATCCCCAAAGAAACTGATTTAGTAAGTCTGGTATGGCACCTGAGTGTTTACATTTCTAACCAGATCTCAGGTCATATCTTTTCTGCTGGTCCAGGGACCACACTTTTTAAGTTATAAGACATAGATGCTGACAGATCTGAATCTGAAGGCCTGCTTTGCTGTTTCCTATCGTGTGCCTTTGAGAAAATTACGTAGACTCTCTGAATCTTGGTTTTTTCATTCTTACAATAAAAATGAAGATATATACTTCATAAGAGTGTCATAAAAATGAAAGGAAATGATATATTTGAGGCACCAAGGCACCATAGTAGAAATTTTACAAATACTTTCATTTCTACACCTCTGAGGGCAGAGGAAGAGAAATGGAATCATGACCCAGAAGGAGCTCCAGGAAAAAGGACAGGGGCTGTGTGCCCAGAATCTAAAGCAGTGTTTCTCAATCCTGGACATGCATCAGAATCAGCTGGGGTGCCATTTAGGAGTGGAGATTTCTGGGCGCCATCCTCCAGTCAAAGGACCAAGCGGAGTCAGTAGAACTGGCATGGAGATGGGGTGATTCTGAGGCCAGCCGGACTTGAGCCCAGAGACTTAAAGAAATGCAAGTCTGAGGTTTCCAAGTCAAAGTCCTGGATAGCAGAGACCAGGCAGATACTCAGGGAACTGGGGACAAAGTCATAGATTCGAGGACAGGAATGAATTCAGGAGAAAGAAACCAGAGAAAGCAGCTTGCAAAGAAAGGGGAGTGGTTAGAGGATCAGTTTGAGTATGTGCTTAGGTTACCAAACTTTGACCTGTACTTTAAAAAAGGCAGATAAACAGATTATAAATAATGTCTAAATAAGCACACGATTACAACCCCTCACCATGCAGAAAGGGTCAACTCTGAAATCAAATGGATTATGCTGATTTTTAAAAGTGAAAAAGGTAGGATGAGGAAATGAACAGGAACTGAGAAAATTCCAGAAGCCTCAGATCCTCAAACAGTAGTCCTCGATTTATGTTTATTCTCCTCAGATCAATTCCAATGGTACAAAACAAAAAATTATTAACCGGCCAGCACCAACAGGAACAAAGACAAGGAGTTTTCTATTCTGGGATGCCTCGTTCATTCTATTCTTTCCCAGGGCCCTCAGGCACCACTAGAGTGTGTTTCTCAGAATGCCAGCCCTAGAGAAAAGGCTGCAGGTGACAAATATGAAAAACTGCACATATTGTAACTCATCCTTGACTATGCCCAAGGCACATTAGCATGTTTAATACTTTAAGAACACTCTTTTATTGGAAGTCCTTATTTCACTAAACGCTTTTGTAGCATCCCTCCTATCACTAATTCCTGGGAACAAGCCATCAGAAACACTGCCCTATGGC